TTCTGGCGTGGAGGACAGGAAGGCGGGTGGAGAGGTGGTTATTGCTTGGAGGGAGAGTCCCCCTCCCTACAGGAAGCCACAACCACATGTCACGGGAGGGAAAATGGCCGCGGATCCTGTTTGTCACCCAATCCAGCGTTCGTGAACGGAAGCAAAATTTTGCGAATGGTGCTGTTCGTGACCTGAATTGGTCGTGAACAGAAGCGTTCGTGACCCGAGGTACCACTGTACTCTACATGTATATAAAATTCCCGAGGTACCACTGTACTCTACATGTATATAAAATTCTCCAGCGTTCGTGAACGGAAGCAAAATTTTGCGAATGGTGCTGTTCGTGACCTGAATTGGTCGTGAACAGAAGCGTTCGTGACCCGAGGTACCACTGTACTCTACATGTATATAAAATTCCATGTCTAATTATGAAGTAGTAAAGAATTATGTGCCATTCTATTAGTTAAGTGGTTTTGGATGTATATGAATAGAATTTCCGAAGGTCTTATTAAGCTGACACATGTGGATAATTTTTGGCTGAATATTAAAGCAACATTAGATAGGAAAGCATAATTACTTTGGAATGTCAACTCTGGATTACCTGCCTTAGAGGCAAATATTAGTGCAAAGTTAAGTTATGTTTTAAATAAAGTTTAGAGAAAGCATTTTGAATCACCCACTAATTACTTGGCCAAAAATTCTTACCATAAGACTACTATAACCACAGAGATATTTCAAATGTTTCTGGGTTAGGCTAAGAATATATAAGTCTTTTATTATCAAGTCCTAAATTCATTCAAGTAATAAAATATGCATACAAGCCACTCTATTAGCTTTGAAATGACAGTCTTCCTGTTTTCATACTGAATACATTGTAACTCTCACATTCCAAAGAGCACATCTATTCAATCCTGTTCCACATTAACTGTGATTACATGTGTCTAATTGCACATGTTTATTTTGTATCCATCCCATCTGTTTTCATGGACTTGCTGTCTTATACATATGTTTAGGATTAAAAGATACAGTCTCTTGCAAATCAAACTCAACTTCAGATGACTTATGGACTTCTCCATGTAGTTTTCTTGGCAGCAACATGGAAGTGATTTGGCATAGTGATTTTCTGTTTTGTTCTTATTTGTTTGTGTGACCTCCCAATTTAATCTACAGTGCTGGTATTTCCTAGTGGCCTCCCATTCCAGTATCCCCATGTCTGATCTCGCTTATGTTTGTGAAATCAGCCATGTTTAGAATTCCAGCCCACCCAATAGACTTTTTCTTGTTGGAAAATGATCATACAGCTGAAGGCGCACCTTTACAGGGTTCCTACAGTGGAGGGATCTGATGAAAGATTTGGTTTCTCCTCTGGAGTGCAACAAGAATTTCTAGCTAATCCAATCTGACAAATCCTGTGAAATGCTACATCCCAGAGAAAGAAATTAGGCATGTACATTTAAAACTGCATGAACTCTTCTGGAACTCTCTGGGCAGAGAACTGGTGATATAATAGAATCAGAATGAAACAATACAAACAAAGTGGGATTATTATCTGTAGATTCAGAACAGAATGGATGCAGAGGAGATACAATCATGCAATCAGCCACTAGCACCATAAACCAGAAAACTCCCAAGTGCCTTCTAACCAGGTATTTTTCCTCCATTTCAAAGGCTGTCCTTGAGCCCTGTGCCCTGAGGGAGATTTCTAGGCTTTTGAAGAGAAGTAACAATGAATGGGGAATAGATTTCATTTGAATATCCACAGGATTATTTTGGAATCAGTAAACTCACTGACAGAACCATAAACCTGACTGTCAGGCAGCAATCTTCTTGTGGGAGAAATCTGTTCAGTTAAGGGGAGATCCTTCCAGATGGAGTTGGTTGGACTGAGACATTTGCCTGCCCAGAGAGATAATTTCACTCTTAGAAGAGAAGAAACCAGGAGCAGTGTGTGTGTGTGTGTGTGTAAGAGAGCGAGCGAGAGAGAGAGCGCCAAGAGATTCTGGGTGATTTTGCATGGATTTTGTATGAAGTAATGACAGGTTTCTCAGCCACCTGATCCCCATTATCCTCTGGAGAGAGATTAGCCCATGATACACAAGCATCTACAAAAGATGGCTGGCTGGCTAATTTGATATTTCTCTTCCATCAACATTAATCTTTTCATTCAAGTGACAGCAAATGCGACCTGTCAGATCTGCCTCCCCCCTTGCTTTACTTTCTATCTGGAAAAGCAGCACTGAAGTGGCAGCTTCTGCTGATGTTGCTCACAAATGACTGCCCTTCATTCTGGGAAGGAGCCTTGCTTAATCTTAACAAATGGAGCGGGGAACCCAGGGAGCATTCGGCCTCCCTCTCTTCTATGGACAGTTGGCTTCCTTGAGAAGCTGTTTTTGTACCTACCTTAAGTTGGTTGCTTGTTAGCCAGCTCTGTCTAGAACATTATCTTTTAAAGATAATGAAATACAGTGCAAATTTGGAAAGTTGATGAAGTACCCCACATGTTTGCTTTTCCTAAGTGGGATCCAGGATGCACTATTGAAGCCATCTCAATAGTGATTTATAACTGAAAGTGAATTCCTCATGCATTTTGCTGGAGCACTGGAGAGCCTCATAGCAGTGACACCAAAGACCACATAGGTGGATTCAAAATGCAAATTGCCTTTACACAGAACATTTTGATTATGAACACATTGCTGTTTATTCTTCAGGATGTATGGCTGCAGCCAGACTAGAACTGTCAGAGAACTTGGCAAGTTCCTATTAAAGGCACCCAAAAGCTTCTTGTCCTTAATCAGTTGGACCTACCACAACACAATCTTTGGGATGGGCCTGAGCAATATATTTTCTGGTGAGCCCCTTCACTGTCGGCAAGCACTGTTGAGTTAATACGGCTGGGCTGACAATATTCCAAACAATATTGGAAATTCTATATAGTAGCATTTTTAACTTCCCACAACCATCCTGCAACCAAGGATGATGCCGATATTAACAAGGTGGCTTGAACCATCCTCCTGTGTCGTATCTTCCCTGGAAGTCAAACTCCTGTGAGCTAGGAGATCTTAAGGGACCAAAAAAGCTCTAAGCTCGACCAAGAAGGCTTTAGAAAAAAACCTGGAGTATAAGGATAACTTACCTGGTACAGAAGCTTGCATGTTGATCCTAGGTGTGCTGGCGTCAGGGAGTGGAGATTCCAGCAATCTAGTTCAGGAATTCCTGGTTGAAAGGCTCCGAAACAGGTCTTTTGAAGAGCAAGAACAAGGGGGGTTCATCTATGTGTACAGGAAATAAATGTTCCTGGATGCAGAGGTGACACCTTTCATTTTTTATTTTCAACAGACACTTTTAATAAACCTTGGTTCACTCTATTTTAACAAAAATCCAAACCAACAAGCACCCCTTAATTTCAATGGAAGGATACGAGATGTTTTTGTGCCTGAGTGCTAAAGTCTATGAAAGGCCAAAGTAAAATGAAATGTCACAACATAAGCACCAAGAGAAACAGAAGAGATGCTGGGGGAGATCAATTATTTCAGCCACCCAAGACTGCATTGCTATGGCACTGTGTGTAAAACTGTCCCTTTGTCAACAGTAATACAACAGTTTGCAGTGCATCTCTCTGCAGGTAGAGTCTATGCCTGAGCCATAAGTAAGTATCCTGATTTATTTTTATCCAAATCAGTAGAAAGTGGAACTGGAGATTATCTTTGTGCTTGGTACATTTTATGACTACCTGGCAAGAGTTAGTTCATTTGGGAGTCCAACTGAGTTACTTACAGCAAATATGAAAATGAGTTGAGCATTATGCTAAATGATTTTCTAAAGGAATAGAAGCGGGTTTTTTTACTGTTTAGAAAATTAAATAATGAAAAAAGTTAAATTTAAATGGAGAGAGTTTTGCAATCATCTGGTGATAGAATGTTTAATAGGTTAATCAAAAATGTTATTCAGCTAGGCTTATTACCTGTTCCATCTGTCAGATTAAAAATAGGCCATAACTGTATAGAAATATGTACCACCTACAAAACCTATCAAAGATTTAAAATTCTGTGTTACCTGCATCCATTCAGTAAAACACAATTATTTACCTACTTCATTCTCACCACCACATAGACTTTTACAACATCCAATCCTCCAACTCACATACTCCAGATAGGTGATTGTCATGACCTTAGTGCTGTTTTCATTCATGTGTGTAACTGCTCCCAGATCATACACATGCATTCATTCTTCCCAAGCCCCCTGCTTCCTTATGAACTGGAACAAATCTCAGATAGTGATTTTCCACTTCCTGAAAGTTAGGATGTAAGCTCATGGAGCAGGCTGGCTGGAACATTACAAACAAATGTGTGTAGACTTCATGTGTGAGCACAAGGCCTTTTGTTGGAGCAGAAGCTATGCTGTATTACAGTGAAACTTAATTTACTGGGTGCTTGTTGTTGTGAGAATAACATTTGTTTCACATAACCTTTGGGGGCTTGGAGGGGGAAGAATGTGTTCAATTACAACCTTCATAGCTCCAGGACAGTATCACAGTCACGAACATACTGTTATAGCATGGCACAGAAATGTAGTAAATAAAGTTCTTACTACTTTGAAAGGCCTTGACTTAAAATATGACTATTTTATAAGTAGGCAAATGACTAAATAACAGTATGCCACATTTTTGTACTCATGGGGAGTTTTTTGCACAAGGGAGGCCTTGGAGTCCCTGTAATGTGCTCTAGAGGCCTCCAATTTTGAATGCCTTTTGTGCCATGTGTAATTTTCCTTCTTCAGAAAGTCTCAATTGTAAATCTCAGTAGCATCTATCTTTTTGTTGTTAATCAATGTGTTCAGATATTTCAGACCACAGAGGATGTGTAGATATTTTAAGATAATCCAGTTAGGTTAAGTATTAAGTGGTCTAGATTAATACAACCGCTTTGAATTCTTACCTTTCCCCTATAAAGTCTATATATTGCATATCTAAGTATTTCTCTGCACTCTCTCCATTCTTTCTCTATTTGCAGGCTCAAAGTCCTAGTGACAAAATATGTCTGAGGAAAACCCCTTGCTGGAGGGGGAAAGCCAAGAAACTGTCAAATGCAGAAAGAGAAATTTGGAGCAGCAACAGTTTTTTCTGAAGTCCATCTGGAAGATGCTGGCATGAAGCAGAAAGGTTGAGATTTTTCAAATTGACTGATAACTTAAGCTTAAATGGAATTATAATTTTTGTTCTGGATGTTTATGTTAAAAGAAATGTTCTTAGAATCATCATGAAGTGTAATAATTTTCAAATGTTATTAAGTACTCCTCATGGTATGTTGCAGTTGACCTATATTATAATAAAAACGGGTCTATAGTGCCAATTAGGGAAATTGAGTTTTACATTATAAGAAAACTGCATCGTTCCAAATTAATGCAATAATTAATATCTGGATATTTGGAGTTTGTTGGGGTTTGGATGGAATAAAACAAGCTGAAATTGAACCCTAGCAAGATGGAATTACTGTCCGTTCATCAGGGTTCACTGTTAGCATGAATCTTGTCTCTTGAGGAGATGGCACTGTCCCTCACAGAGCAGGTCCATTGCATGGAGGTCCTTTTAGACTCATACTAGTTGCTGGATGGGCAAGTGGAAGCTGTGGCCAAGAGGTCCTTGGCTTTGGCTAATGTGTCAGTTGCAACCTTTTCTGGCATGGGTAGCCAGGCCTTCCCACACAGTTCAACTCCTGTGCTATGTTCTACAGCTGACCCCAAACACAGCAGTCCTGTGTATTAACTGGCACTAGTTGTTACAGTGATGTTACAGCTATTTTGCAGACCCCAGTTGGTTCCCAGATAGAATTTAAAATGCTTGTTTTTGAATTATAAAGCCTTGTATGGCTTGGCACCTTGGTATTTTTAGGACAGCCTACTTTAACTGAAGTCAACTTGCCTAAGGAGATTTTCCTGGAAGAAGCTACGTTTGGTTGCCCAGTTTTCGGAGGTGAGGTAAACTGAAGCTAGGAAATGCTGGTTTTCCATCATGGTTCCTATACTATGGAACAGCCTCACTCCAGAAGTTATGCTGTCTCCTCAGTGATGATCTTCTGGAAGGTAGTAAAGACCTGATTCTTCCAGAAGGCTCTTAGGGAATGATTTTGTAGCATCTGAAATAATATTTTATTAGCTAGTATTGTGCATTATTACTGTGAACAGCACAGCTTTGCTCTATTTTGATCTGTGGATATTGCGTTTTATATTGCTGTAAGCCATTGTAGTATAAGTTCAATAAATAATAATAATAATAATAATAATAATAATAATTATTATTATTATTATTATTATTATTATTTATTAAACGTCTGTGTCACCTGACTCTCAACAACTCTGGGCAGCTCATAACAATGAAACAAAGAAATTACAATAACATAAAATAAAGATAAAAGATGGCAAGCATGATGAAGTGAGGGGTCTCATTCTCCCTCACTGAAGGCCTTGGTGAAGAGCCAATTCTTCACTGCTCATCTAAACAACAGCAGAGTGGGGGCCATCCAGATCTTGGGGGAACTGTGTTCCAAATAAATAAACAAACAAACAAACAGTCTTTCAGATAAGATATTTCATTATGAACTTCCATGCACTGATTAAAACAAGGATTGCATGCATTGATATATTAAGTCATATTAATTCCAGACTACTGTTACAGTGGTACCTCGGTTCATGAACTTAATTCGTTCCATGATTCTGGTCGCGAGCCGAATTGGTCGCGACCTGAATCAAATTTCCCCATAAGGTTCAATGTAAATAAGGTTAATCTGTTCTGAACCATATGTAT